AGATCGGCCTTCGTGGTCTTTGAGCAGCCCAACTTTTGAGAAAGCAAACGTCTCGTGGTCTCTGAGCAGCCCAGCTTTTGAGAAAGCAAACGCCTCTTCGATTTCTGAAGCTCCGTCGAGTGCAGATTTTTTATAAAGGCTGGCATTAAGTTCCAAAGCACACTTGAATCTCCACCAGTAGAAGCTCCATTCTTGCACTTCTAAGATCTTGATTTGTCCGACCTCTTCTCTCTTTAACACCTTTGAAAATGTATGGCCCCTCCGACCGTCGTTTTGACTTGAACCTTGTTGAAGAGGCAGCCACGCCTTCTCCAGACAACATATGGCGCCCATCCTTCGTCTCCCCTACTGGTCCTCTTACCGTTGGGGATTCCGTGATGAAGAATGATATGACCGCTGCGGTAGTGGCCAGGAACCTTCTCACTCCCAAAGATAACAGACTACTTTCCAAACGGTCTGATGAGTTGGCTGTTAAGGATTCTCTGGCTCTCAGTGTTCAGTGTGCAGGTTCTGTGTCTAATATGGCCCAACGCCTATTTGCTCGAACCCGCCAAGTTGAATCATTGGCGGCTGAAGTGATGAGTCTCAAACAGGAGATTAGAGGGCTCAAGCATGAGAATAAACAGTTGCACCGGCTCGCACATGACTATGCTACAAACATGAAGAGGAAGCTTGACCAGATGAAGGAATCTGATGGTCAGGTTTTACTTGATCATCAGAGATTTGTGGGTTTGTTCCAAAGGCATTTATTGCCTTCGTCTTCTGGGGCTGTACCGCGTAATGAAGCTCCAAATGATCAACCTCTGATGCCTCCTCCTTCTAGGGTTCTGTCCAGTACTGAGGCTCCAAATGATCCCCCTCCAGTGCCTTCTCTTTCTGGGGCTCTACCGACTGCTGAGACTTCTCCTAAGCAACCTTTGTGAAGGCTCCCTCTTGTTTGTTTATTTTGACTCATGTATATGTACATATTTGTAGCTTATCGGGGATATCAATAAATAAGCTTTCCTTCATTTCAACGTATTGTGTTAAATACACCAAAGCCTTCTTCGCTAAGTTCTTTGAATTTTCTTTTGTTGAAGCTTTGTGAGTGGAGCATGTAGGTTGAGGTAGTGTTCCCTTAATTTCCCGAGTGAGGAAAACTTCTCGGTTGGAGACTTGGAAAATCCAAGTCACTGAGTGGGATCGGCTATATGAATCTTTGAACGCCATTGTGCTCGGTCCTGTGTCATGTCCTCCGTTAGATCCAAGTACTCTAAGTCTTTTCTTAGAGTCTCTTCCAAAGTTTTCCTAGGTCTTCCTCTACCCCTTCGGCCCTGAACCTCTGTCCCATAGTCGCATCTTCTAATCGGAGCGTCAGTAGGCCTTCTTTGCACATGTCCAAACCACCGTAACCGATTTTCTCTCATCTTTCCTTCAATTTCGGCTACTCCTACTTTACCCCGGATATCCTCATTCCTAATCTTATCCTTTCTCGTGTGCCCACACATCCAACGAAGCATCCTCATCTCCGCTACACCCATTTTGTGTACGTGTTGATGCTTCACCGCCCAACATTCTGTGCCATACAGCATCGCCGGCCTTATTGCCGTCCTATAAAATTTTCCCTTGAGCTTCAGTGGCATACGGCGGTCACACAACACGCCGGATGCACTCTTCCACTTCATCCATCCAGCTTGTATTCTATGGTTGAGATCTCCATCTAATTCTCCGTTCTTTTGCAAGATAGATCCTAGGTAACGAAAACGGTCGCTCTTTGGTATTTCTTGATCTCCGATCCTCACCCCTAACTCGTTTTGGCCTCCATTTGCACTGAACTTGCACTCCATATATTCTGTCTTTGATCGGCTTAGGCGAAGACCTTTAGATTCCAACACTTCTCTCCAAAGGTTAAGCTTTGCATTTACCCCTTCCTGAGTTTCATCTATCAACACTATATCGTCTGCGAAAAGCATACACCAAGGAATATCATCTTGAATATGTCCTGTTAACTCATCCATTACCAACGCAAAAAGGTAAGGACTTAAGGATGAGCCTTGATGTAATCCTACAGTTATGGGAAAGCTTTCGGTTTGTCCTTCATGAGTTCTTACGGCAGTCTTTGCTCCTTCATACATATCCTTTATAGCTTGGATATATGCTACTCGTACTCCTTTCTTCTCTAAAATCCTCCAAAGAATGTCTCTTGGGACCCTATCATACGCTTTTTTCCAAATCTATAAAGACCATGTGTAAATCCTTTTTCCCATCTCTATATCTTTCCATCAATCTTCGTAAGAGATAGATTGCCTCATGGTTGAGCGCCCTGGCATGAACCCGAATTGGTTGTCCGAAACCCGTGTCTCTTGCCTCAATCTATGCTCAATGACTCTCTCCCAGAGCTTCATTGTATGACTCATTAGCTTAATACCCCTATAGTTCATGCAATTTTGTACGTCGCCCTTATTCTTGTAGATAGGCACCAAAGTGCTCGTTCGCCACTCATTTGGCATCTTCTTCGTTTTCAAAATCCTATTGAAAAGGTCAGTGAGCCATGTTATACCTGTCTCTCCCAAAACTTTCCACACTTCGATTGGTATATTCGTCTGGGCCTACTTGCTTTTCTATGCTTCATCTTCTTCAAAGCTACAACCACTTCTTCCTTCCGGATTCGACGATAAAAAGAGTAGTTTCTACACTCTTCTGAGTTACTCAACTCCCCTAAAGAAGCACTCCTTTCATGTCCTTCATTGAAAAGATTATGAAAATAACCTCTCCATCTGTCTTTAACCGCGTTCTCTGTAGCAAGAACCTTTCCATCCTCATCCTTGATGCACCTCACTTGGTTTAGGTCCCTTGTCTTTTTTTCCCTTGCTCTAGCTAGTTTATAGATATCCAACTCTCCTTCTTTGGTATCTAGTCGCTTATACATATCGTCATAAGCCGCTAACTTAGCTTCTCTCACAGCTTTCTTCGCCTCTTGCTTCGCTTTTCTATACCTTTCACCATTTTCATCGGTCCTATCCTTGTATAAGGCTTTACAACATTCCTTCTTAGCCTTCACCTTTGTTTGTACCTCCTCATTCCACCACCAAGATTCATTTTGGTGTGGGGCAAAGCCCTTGGACTCTCCTAATACCTCTTTTGCTACTTTTCGGATACAACTAGCCATGGAATCCCACATTTGGCTAGCTTCCCCCTCTCTATCCCACACACACTGGGTGATTACTTTCTCTTTGAAAATGACTTGTTTTTTCTTCTTTTAGATTCCACCATCTAGTCCTTGGGCACTTCCAAGTCTTGTTCTTTTTTCTCACTCTTTTGATATGTACATCCATCACCAACAAGCGATGTTGATTAGCCACGCTCTCTCCTGGTATAACTTTGCAATCCTTACAAGTTATACGATCCCCTTTCCTCATTAGAAGAAAATCTATTTGTGTTTTTGACGACCCACTCTTGTAGGTGATCACATGTTCTTCTCTCTTCTTAAAGAAGGTGTTGGCTAAGAAGAGATCATATGCCATTGCAAAATCCAAGATAGCTTCCCCATCCTCGTTTCTCTCCCCAAAACCATGGCCACCATGAAAACCTCCATAGTTGCCTGTCTCCCTGCCCACGTGTCCATTTAAATCTCCTCCTATAAATAACTTCTCCGTCTGAGCAATTCCTTGCACCAAGTCTCCAAGGTCTTCCCAAAATTTCTCCTTCGAACTCATATCCAACCCTACTTGAGGTGCGTACGCACTAATCACATTGATAAGTTCTTGTCCTATTACAATCTTGATTGCCATGATTCTATCTCCTACCCTCTTGACATCTACAACATCTTGTGTCAAGGTCTTGTCCACGATGATGCCAACACCGTTTCTCGTTCTATTTGTGCCCGAGTACCAAAGTTTAAACCCTGAGTTTTCTAGATCCTTTGCCTTAAGACCAACCCACTTAGTTTCTTGTAGGCACATAATATTTATCCTTCTCCTCACCATAACTTCCACTACTTCCATGGATTTTCCCGTTAAGGTTCCTATATTCCACGTTCCTAAACGCATTCTACTCTCCTGAACTCTACCCTTCTGTCCTAGCTTCTTCACCCTCCCCCGTCCAATGGAATCAAAGTACTTCTTTTGTGTGTCCCGTGTAAAGTTGATAGGTGCATATGCTCCCAAACAACTTTGAGTGGAGTCGTTCGAAAAGAAGTTTCTATGGCCCCCTTGCTCATTTAACACTGCATCCGGGTGCCTATGGAGATACAGCGACCCTTGCTCACTTATCACTGTGCTCGGGCCACACAGCGCGCCACTTACGGGTGACGCCCTAGCTTTAGCGCGATTTCGTTCTGAATTCATTTTCATAAGGATTCGACGTAACTGTGGAGTGCCGGCTGTCGACTACCTGACGCCCTCCCCCTCCTCCTTTACCCGGGCTTGGGACCGGCCATGTAAGATAAACTTACATAGGCGGAGTTTCTTAAAACTTGCAACCAATTAAAAAAAAATAGAAAACATGTTTTTCTACCAATCAAAGTTTTAGAGTGCGTACCAAAAAAAAAAATAGAAAACTTGTGAAAAAAAGATCAAATGTCAAAAATCAATTTATTTGTCCACCTCCTACTAAAAAGGAGGTCAAATGTTTGGAACCAAGTTCAGGTGACATTTCAAAAAGAATGTTAATGCTAAAAAGTGAAACCCTTGACTTTTTTATTTTTGAACCAAATTTTTACCTATAAATTGATTAATTTGACCTATAATTTATAAAGAAGGTCAAATTTTCACCTATAAATTGATTAATTTGACCTATAATTTATAAAGAAGGTCAAAATTTCACCTATAAATTGATTAATTTACGTATGAAGAATGAAGATGACCAAGTTTTTACCATTAACGTCGTCATTGTTTGACTGCGTCACGGGCAAAACAGGGGCTCGAAAAAGGAAACAATAAAAAATTGAGAGAGAGAGAAAGAGAGAGAAAGAGAGAGAGGGAGAGAGAGATATATATATATATATATATATATAGAGAGAGAGCATCAGCACGTCCATTTTCCGCCCACGTGTCTCCTGGAGTATCGCCAAGAGTCGAGAAGAGGACCCTCACGAGATTCTGGTCTCCACCCCATCGCCTCGATTCACCACCCAAATCACCTCAACTCCTCCTCTCTCGCTACTCCACTCAGCTCCTCCTCCGTCCTCAGCTCCTCCTCCGCCACCTCCCTCTGCTTATCCTCATCCTCCGCCGTCTCTCTCTCTCTCTCTCTCTAACCAGTTCGCGGTTCCATGGGACGCAGGCAGTCGCATCTCCACACGAACATTCCTCGCCAGCTCTAGAAACCTCCAGAAGATTCTTCCGCTGTTGACTTTCTGCTTCCGAGAGCCCGATGGCGCAGCTTCGTTGCATTCTTCTCCTCGCTTTCCTCTCCTCTCTGCTTCCTGCTCTTCGCGCCAGTGATGGCGATGCTGATCCGATTTACAAGTATGCCTTCCTTTCTGAGATTTTTGCTTGGTTTCTGAAAGGACTTGGAATTTCGCTTCCAAGTTCGTATCAGTATTTGATTTGGTTTGGTTTATTTATAATATTCGAGCTCATTGAGTTGTTTATTTGAAGTATTTTAGTTTAGTTGAATGCTCTCACTGTTTGATTGATGAGCTTCGTTTAGTTGTTTGTATAGCCAAATTGATTAGAAATTTGATCGAGTTTTCGTGTTTTCGTGGTTGAAAACTCGAAAATCTGGACTAAGTTTCGTGTATTCCGTACAACGAATCAACGATTAGTGTGATGTTTTTGTTACTTGATGGATATAGATTGTGAAGATAATTATGAAAATTGAACAATCATTTAATGCTAGGGAAAAATAAATTTGAAATCTTTTATTGTTAACTAGCATTAATGCAGATAATGATGAAAGTTCTTTATTTGGGAGCTTTAGGCGAATGGGTTTGGAAGTACTTTTAAAATGATTGTTATGCTTTTGGTGAGAATGTCTTTGAAATCAATCCTTAGTAAAAGTTCAAGTGGATCCTGGAAAAGTGATTTTCTGCAAGAAGCACAGTGCTTCTCCCAAAATGCAATTAAAGTGCTTTTGGAACCCAATATCAATTTCACCAAAAGCGCTTTTTAAAAGCACTTCCAAACGAGCCCTATATTGGTTATGCTATTTGATTGATGTGATTTCACAAGTACAAAATTTACATTCACGGAAGTTCATTAGGTGTTCTCTTGTATCATATTCATCTATATGTTGCTTGTTTCATGGCTGTTGGGTGATAACCATTATGATTTTTATGGGTTTTCCAGGTCTTGTGTGGCGGAGTGCGAAAAATCTGGGTGTGTAGGGGACACATGCTTTCAACACTGTAAATTTTCATCCGATGGGAAACCTATTGATGGTCCGTGGTACATGCAAGAGCCCCTCTATTTGCGCTGGAAACAATGGGACTGCCGCAGTGACTGCAGGTACCACTGCATGTTTGCAAGGGAGGAAGAGAGAGAGGAACTCGGCCATAAGCCTGTCAAATACCATGGGAAATGGCCGTTTCAGCGTGTTTATGGCATCCAGGTCTTCCGCTGATATTTAGTAGAGCAAATTAGTTGATTACTAATCTAAATAAGTTAATTTACTTGCTGATATGGCCTAACCATTCAACGAACTTGTTTAGGAACCGGTTGCTGTTGCTCTCTCCGCTATCAATCTTGCCATTCAATTTCATGGCTGGATATCTTTTTTCATCCTTATATACTACAAGTTGCCGTTGAATCCAAATAAGAAGACGTACTATGAATATACTGGTATGTGGCACATCTATGGGATCTTGGCAATGAATGCCTGGTTTTGGAGTGGTGTATTTCACAGCCGGTAAGTGGTTTTAAATTCCTTTGACAGCGTAATGATTTATACATACAACCGTGATCTGCTCCAAAATGTCAACTTATGCAAAAGATAAATATTTTAGTACTTTGTACTTCTTAGACCTCGCAACCTATCGATTTAAACAAATTGATGGTCGCAATTTATAACAGCAGGACAAGATTTAGTGTAGTGTTGTGCATATGGAATTAGGGTATTCCATAGGCCAGAATTTTTCTCTGCTAAATTTCAACAGCAAGATTATGCTGTAGCTTGTGGTACTGACCTCGTAACGAATACAAAACTTTTGCGTGTTGATTGTGCCTGGTGTGAGGGAAGAACACGATTTTGATATGATAACATTAATTGTTTTCAGACAGTTTTTAACTGCTGCTTTGTTATCCAATGTAGAGATGTCGAGTTGACAGAGAAGCTAGATTATTCTTCTTCTGTAGCACTACTTGGATTTTCACTCATTGTGACCCTAATTCGAGCGTTTAATGTGAGAGATGAGGCTGCAAGGGTCATGGTTTGTGCTCCGCTGATTGCATTCGTCACCACACACATACTGTACCTGAACTTCTATAAACTTGATTACGGTAAGACATTCTGTTGCAAATTTGAGCCAAACTTTTTGTTGCTTTTAATACAAAACTATTTGCCGTGGCAATGAGCTTACAAGTTTTGCAGGTTTGAACATGAAAGTGTGCATGGCCATGGGCATCATTCAGCTTCTTACATGGGCAGTTTGGGCTGGTGTCAGTTGCCATCCATCGCGCTGCAAGTTGTGGGCGGTAGTGGCAGGAGAAGCCCTTGCCCTGCTCTTCGAGATATATGACTTCCCACCTTACCAAGGCTTTATTGACGCGCACGCTCTCTGGAATGCAATCAACATACCTATTACATACCTCTGGTGGAGTTTTGTGAGGGATGATGCCGAGTTTGTTACATCGGCTCTCCTTAAGAAAGCAAAGTAGTAGATCTGAATCGAAAAGCATGAAGTGATCCAATGGTGGATTGTATCAAATACTCGAAAGTACATGACATGCTCAGCGCAGTTAGTTCGTAAAATGTTCTCCTTTTTTCCTCATGTGTATGCGTTTCTCCGAAATGCTTACCGTGATGTGGTTCCGTTTGATTTTGCATTTCGCATTGGTATCGGTCAAATTGTTTCCGCCGTCTACGGTGGGCTACTTCCTCTGATGGAATCCGGATTTCCAGGTCGTTGTGTTGGTTTTTTTTCCTGGAAACTTTTAGATGTAAGATTTGAATTCTCAAGTTACTGAATTGTGCTGTAAATCTTTGTCGAATACCATTTTAGGATGTTGTGTGGTGATGTTGTTTATGCAGTGTTGGAATAGCTTATGGAGAAAGGTACCAATAAAAAAAAAATAGTAAAAAGCTTTTGCTGATAAATGTTTTTGCTATAAGCGCTTTTATTATTAACGTTTCAAAACTTTAGCCACGTCCAATTGCTTTTTGGAATAGTACTTGGAAGTCCAAGAGGTGGTAGAAGTGTTTTTAAGTTTTTCTATCTATAGTAGAGTTCGTAAGAGCATTTAAAATGACTGAAAGCGTTTTAGTGAAATTGATTTTGGGTCGCAAAATCATTTTAAGTGCTATTTGGAAGAAGCACTTATCCCAAAAGCACTTTAAGTGCTATTTTAAAGAAATACCATATATCTACCTAATTTTTGCAACATAAAAGAAAAATTTAGGAGGTACGTCGTGGGTTAGATTCTTGGCGTTGATTAATCACATAATGATGGTCAGAAAAAGTTAAAATGTTTATGTAAGTTTTTCCAGCTTTTAAAAAGATGATCTAGGTTAAGTCCCTTGATGGTTTTTATGCTTTTAAAAATAAGAAATTAGGAAAAGGTATTGCATTGTTTATATGTGGAGCTTGAGCTGCAAGTGTCCGACGGTTAAAACTTTTGGCACCAAAGTCCAACAATATATGATTGGGCCCCACTTTAGGGTTTTAGGAAAGCAGACGCAAGTACTCTACCACTTCATCAGCAACCAGATCAAATTTGCAGCAGCGGCGCCGCCTCTCCTCCGCCGCTTCCACGTTCAGAGGCCTCTTCAGTCTTCCCCTCCGGCCGGTAGGGGCGGCGGTATGTGAACTCACCCTCCCGATCAAAGATTTAAGCTTTCTAGAAATTCCATCCGTTTTGGTTTTTGGGATTGGTTTAACTGCGTCGTTCTGATGCCGCAGATGGATAACGGAAAAGGGATTGAAGACCCAGAGAAGAAAAAGAAGAAGGAAGAAAAGGTAATCTCTTGCAAAATTGCTTCTTTTAATGTTATAATTGCAGACCCAGATGGATAAATATGTGAATTACTGAATTTTAGAAAGAAATTAATTTCTAACTCTTTGATATTTCGGCAGGCAAGAGAGAAGGAATTGAAAAAGCAGAAAGCTTTAGAGAAAGCTGCCAAGCTTCAGGTAATGATGGTGAATGTATTTTGGTGTAGGTTTTCGATTCATTTTTTGGTTTTGTCGAATATATTTTGTTGTGCTGCGTCTGCGTGGTGTCGAAACGTCCTAGAATGTCAGTCCCTGAGATGACTGATCAAGGATATGGTGTTATTTGATGGTTTTAGGCACAACAAGCATCTAGTTCCTCTAAGAAGAGTGAAAAGAAGCATGTAAAGCGTTCCAACGAGGGGGAGGAGAATCCGGAGGACTTTATTGACCCAGAGACTCCATTTGGCGAGAAGAAACGGATGTCGAGTCAAATGGCAAAACAGTATAGTCCAAGTGCAGTAGAGAAATCGTGAGTGTCATGTTTTCTTTTCACCAATTCTCCCAACAATTTTACTTTTTATTTATTTATTATGTTATCTATGCTTGACGATTTAGGTGGTATGGATGGTGGGAGAAGACGGGATTCTTTGTGGCAGATGCTAAGAGCTCCAAACCTCCTTTTGTCATTGTGAGTGTCATATTGCTCCATCAAATTTGTTTTTGAGTTTGCATTGACATGGATACCAATAAACAAAATAAAATTAACTCGCATATATTACAGGTTTTACCGCCCCCCAATGTGACTGGTGCCCTTCATATTGGCCATGCTCTTACTGCTGCTGTTGAGGTGATTCCCAAGTTTGTTCTATGGTGACTTCCAAAGTATGTTTTCTAAAAAAGAAAAAAAAACTAATTGGATGTAATTTTGTTATATGCAGGACACTATAATCCGTTGGCGAAGAATGTCTGGTTACAATACCTTGTGGGTGCCTGGAATGGACCATGCTGGGATAGCGACACAGGTGTTCATTTAACAATTATTGAATATTTACTATAGTTTAGTTTTTGAATATTACCAATCTAAGCAAAAGTGATTCTGCACTCGCTTCCTTCCAACACTTCACACAAACTCAACAGCACCAGTTTATTATGTGGCTGGATGGGGGTCTTGTAGGGGTCATAGTTTTTAGTGCCTGATACGTAGGCTGTTCTCTGGGTATAGAACTTCCGTGTGAAGGATGTCGGATTTTAAATAGCAACTTTTACTCTCATATATGTCCGATGTCCTCAAGGGCGCGTTCTTTCAAAATTAAGCCGTAGTCAGGAGTGGTGTTTTATATTTTATCTTATTCTCAGTGTTGTAGCTTTTCATAACAGAAAAAGCAACTAGAATGGTGTCTTTGCCAAAATCTCAGTCATGAAAACCCTACATATGCATCTATATATATATATATATATATATATATCTGGATTATGTTCATGTCATTTGTTATTTGTTTTCTGGATTTTAACATTTATGTGCCATTTATAGGTTGTTGTAGAAAAGAAGCTAATGCGCGAAAGACAGTTAACCAGGCATGATATTGGTCGTGAGAAATTTGTAGCTGAAGTGAGTTTGAACTGAAACTAGCTAGTATTATATCCGTTCATAATTTTGATGTTCTAAAGTTAATGGATCCATTCTTACCTTTTCATAATTGTTGGTAATTTTGGTTGTTGAAAGGTTTGGAATTGGAAAAATAAGTATGGGGGCACCATTTTACAGCAGCTACGTCGTTTGGGTGCTTCTTTGGACTGGTCCCGTGAGGTAATCAGTTGAATTCTGGATTTTTTGTTTTTGGAGCAAAGAATCAGTTGTCCTGTTAAATTTCTTGTTCTCTTTATTAGACCTAGTCATGAAGCTCTCTCTCTCTCTCTCTCTCTCATGTGTGTGTGTGTGTGTATTATTATATGTATTACTAATTTCTTTGATTTTTTTTCCACTGTTTCCTTCTTAATTGTAGTGCTTTACAATGGATGAGAAAAGATCAAGGGCCGTGACAGAGGCTTTTGTAAGGCTTCATAAGCAAGAGCTTATCTACAGGTATGCTAGGCACAGGAGCTGTGTTGTTCTAGGTTTAACATTATGTTATGGTGGAGGCTAGCTTTTCTGGTTTTTGTTTGATTTCATATGTACATATTTTTTTTTTATTTAGTTAGCCAGTTGAGGTGAGGATTGGGTGATAATACTAACGACCAATGGACTTCTTCAATCATCTACTCCTATAATTCATCCTCTTTATGTCCTTTTTTATGCACTCTTGTACACATTCTGGCTTTGTTTTGCAGGGATAATCGCCTAGTGAATTGGGATTGTGTCTTGCGGACAGCAATATCTGACATAGAGGTCAGCCTTCTCCTTTTAGTGGCATACTTTCCCAAATTTTTCAGCATTATGAAATTTTTTTGGTCTATGTAGGTGGACTATATTGATGTAAAAGAAAGGACGTTGCTAAAGGTTCCTGGATATGAGAACCCTGTTGAATTTGGAGTGTTGACTTCATTTGCTTACCCTCTGGAAGAAGGTTTAGGTGAGATTGTTGTGGCCACTACTAGAGTGGAAACTATGCTTGGTGATACTGCTATTGCTGTACATCCTGATGATGAAAGGTACCGGCATCTTCATGGAAAGCATGCCATTCATCCTTTTAATGGAAGAAGGATTCGCATAATATGTGATGCAATTCTCGTTGATCCAGAATTTGGGACTGGTGCTGTGAAGGTAAATTTAACGTATAAGTTGTGAAAGATTATGTTAAATTTCTTTTCCGGTTTATGTTTCAGGTTATAAAGATTTGTTGATCTTTCTCTTTTGCCTCATGCAGATTACACCGGCCCATGATCCTAATGACTTTGATGTTGGAAAGCGCCATAATCTTGGATTTATCAACGTCTTTACTGATGATGGAAAAATAAATCAGGATGGTGGAGAATTTGTAGGGATGCCACGTTTCAAAGCCCGAGAGGCAGTGACTCAAGCATTAAAGAAGAAGGTATCTGTTTACAGTACTGCATGTGTAGCTTATGTATAGATGGTGGTTAAAAAAATTAATTCTAATATCAACATAGTATATCATATTCCTATGCAATTGTTAAATGCTTACCAAGTAGATGAATATATTTGTTGTTAGTGGGGACTTCCTGTAACACCTTTAACACTATCACTGCCACCTCCTCTCACAGTTCTTTAATATTGTTTTCAAGTCGATACTCCTTCAAAACAATGTCTTATGAAATGAAATTGTTTGCATCCCCATAATTCCAGACACTTCGCACAATTTAAAGGCTCTCGGTACTGTTCACTTTAACGAAAAACCACATTTTTACACTAAAAAGTCAATCCTGGTACTATTCACTTTACCCTCTATTTTGTCCTTATCGTTAAAACTCAAAGTTTTCAAGCCCTTTTCATTAGTTTTCCTTTTAATATACCCTACTTGTAATAATGTCACTTGTCAGCATCCCCAGTTTTGTGTTACACGTGCATCAATCTTCCTAGTTGTTGGAGGGTACTGTCTGTTTGAATTCCTTACTGTTTACAATTTTATGGATGGTTCAGTGACCCTATTCTCCTTGCATTTAGGGCCTCTTTAGAGATGCTAAGGCCAATGAGATGCGCCTTGGAATTTGCTCTAGAAGTCAAGATGTTGTGGAGCCCATGATAAAGCCCCAATGGTATGTTAAATGCAGTGGTATGGGAAAAGAAGCCCTTCATGCTGCCATAGATGATGAGAACAGGAAGCTTGAGATCATCCCGAAACAGTATACTGCAGATTGGAAGAGGTGTGGTTTTTTCCTTTCTTTGCCTTACTTTTTGGAATTTCTTGTGTATGCATTGTAAGGAATAATAAGATCATATTTCCAGAAGGTATGTTCTTTTTTAGAGCATTGCCAAGAAAGTAAGTTCAGGTTTTGGACAACTGACAAGTCAGTGGATAAATTCTAGTTGTTACTTGTGTCTTTGCAATTTATATAAATGGAATTCTGAACATAAAGGCTAAAATTTGTACTTAGTTCTGGTCTCAATTGTACAGATGGCTTGAGAACATTCGTGATTGGTGCATTTCAAGGCAACTCTGGTGGGGTCACCGTGTTCCTGCATGGTATGTTGTTTATGAGGGTGATAGTCCAGACAATTTTGGAGTATCAGATGAGCGATGGGTTGTTGCGAGAAATGAAGAAGAGGCCAAAGGACATGCCAGTCAAAAATTTGAGGGGAAATTTCAATTGATGCAGGATCCTGATGTGCTTGACACTTGGTTTTCCGCTGGTCTCTTCCCATTGTCTGTGTTAGGCTGGCCTGATGATACAGAAGATCTGAAGGCGTTTTATCCTACTTCAGTTCTTGAAACCGGTCATGACATTCTCTTTTTCTGGGTTGCTCGTATGGTAATGCTTGGAAGTACATTGGGTGGCAACGTACCTTTTACAAAGGTGGGACTTGGGAGCAGCCTCTCCATAAATGGGGGTAAGGCTAGCCGACATTCACCTCTCCCAGACCCTGCGTAAAGCGGGAGCCTTGTGCACTGGGTACGACCTTTATGTAATGGCTTTCCGTGTGTGTTGCATTTGCCTAACTTCTAATGTCCAGTTGCTTGACTATGAAACAATAGCATGTTATACTTAACATTACTGAGTGTTTTTCTACTTGGTAAAAGCTTGAACGAAAAGAAATTTTGTGGAATCCTACTAGGCTACTACATTGTTATTACAAGATTCCCAGTTTACAATGTTTATATGTATACGAGCTTGTTAAAATGTCCAGTGGGCATTTTTTAGAGACACATGACTTTTTCACCATCTTATTTTTTGCAAAAATCGTTCTGAGCATGCAAAGATGGTTTTGATTATACATTATAGTTTGATTACTGAAGAGACAGGTGGAATTTGGTCGCTTTGCAGGTCTATTTGCACCCAATGATTCGCGATGCACATGGGCGTAAAATGTCTAAGTCCTTGGGGAATGTCATTGATCCTCTTGAAGTAATAAATGGTATTACCCTTGAAGGTCTGCATCAGAGGCTTTTGGAGGGAAATTTGGATCCCAAGGAATTGACTGTAGCCAAAGAAGGGCAAGTAAAGGACTTTCCTAAGGGTATTGAAGAATGCGGTGCTGATGCTCTTCGTTTTGCTCTTGTCTCTTACACTGCTCAGGTTAGGATTTTATCGTTATATTTCTGGCAGGTAACTGTTTTCTACCATGGATCTAGTAATCTATCTGATTGTCTTTTCTTGTCTTTTCAGTCAGATAAGATAAATCTGGACATCCAAAGGGTTGTGGGTTATCGTCAATGGTGCAATAAACTGTGGAATGCAGTACGATTTGCTATGAGCAGGCTTGGGGATGATTTTGTGCCACCCTCATATGTAAATCCAGATGTGCTTCCATTTAGTTGCCAGTGGATACTCTCGGTACTAAATAAAGTCATATCCAAAGCTGTTTTGTCATTGGAAGCGTATGACTTCTCAGATGCAGCCACTGCAGTGTATGCTTGGTGGCAGTACCAATTGTGTGATGTCTTTATTGAAGCTATCAAGCCTTACTTTTCTGGCAACGATCCAAAGTATGAGTCTGAAAGGGGTTTTGCACAAGCCACACTATGGTTATGTCTTGACAATGGTCTGCGGTTGCTTCATCCGTTTATGCCATTCGTCACAGAAGAACTGTGGCAGCGCCTTCCGTCACCAAAGGATCACAAGAGGCCAGCCTCAATTATGATATGCGAATATCCTTCCACTCTAGAGGTTGGTTGGTTAGTTCTTTTTTCTCAAACATAAATTGGATGATCCTGACCAGCCTAAGGCTAGAGGCGAACGATCATGCAAAAAGTACACTTGCATCATTGTTCTTCTTAGGCCGTAAAGGATTACTCATGGGAATGGTGGTTTTCATTATGACCCCTGGCTTTGGGATAATGTTGCGGAGACAGTTATAGTATGTGTAGTAACCATCTTTCTAACTTGTCATTTATACAGCGCTGGACAAATGAAAGGGCAGAGATCGAGATGAATCTTATAGATTCTGTTGTGAAATCTCTCCGTTCACTTTCAAAAGAAAGTCGTGAAAGGTATATCTTGTCGCTGCAGTGTGAAATACTTTGATTTGTCATGTTGTGAATTGATCTGATTAGTGTTTGTTTCTTTCAGGCGACCAGCTTCTGTGCTTTGTCGAACACCATTAGATAGGGAAATAATATGCAGCCATCAACTGGAGATTGAAACTCTCGCCAATTTGTCATCTTTGACGGTAAGTCATGCGTTGTTTAAAAAACCTGCTCTAGCAACAGAACGAGGCAACAAAATTATAGGGCCGACTGCTTTTTGACTGACCATTGCTTTATGCAAATTCAGTTAATATATTTCTTATCCGTTCAGGTAATCAACGAGAACGATGCTGCTCCAACTGGATGTGTGGTGGGTGTTGTAAACGAAAACCTTTCTGTGTATCTCAAGCTTCAAGGAAGCCGTTCATTAGAAGCCGACCTTGAAAAGATCAGGAAGAAGATGGAAGACATTACATTGTAAGCTTTGCGGTTGAAGTTACTTGGTGACTGAAAGCTCAGATTACACTTTAAATCCCTCCAGGTTTTGATTGCTGACAGCCGTTTTTATTAACTTGCAGGCAACAAGAGAAGCTATCGAAGGCGATGAATGTAGCCGGCTACAAAGAAAAGGTCCCGGAGAAGATTCAGAAAGCCAACGCAGACAGGCTTGAATCACTCGAGAAGGAAAAAATGTCTCTCGAAGAAGCAAGCCAGCATATGGAAGCACAGATATCGAGCAACGAAAAGTAGTGACTTCCAATTTGAAATTCGATCAAGAAGTATTTATTCGCATTACATTACTCGCGTATTCTTAGATAATTTATTGAGATTTTGTCGCTGTTACTGAATAATTAGTTCACAAATAATTTTTCTCGATTATATTATAAATTTATACACGGTACATCTGCGTGGTACATATATTTGACTTTTATTTTTTCTTCTTTTCTTCCTATACGTGCTTCCATACTAATCAAATTTTTGTACGGAGAAAAAGCACTTTTACAAGCCAAAGATTACTACAAAATTTAAGACTCGCTCACAGAAGCAGCTTTTTTGCGTTCTAGAGAGTAGAGACTACACTAAGCTAAAACTGAAAAGAGATCAAATGGAAAAACTCCATAATGGCACGTCCGCATAAACATCCACGACATCATCGGCATTGTAATGAGGTGGAGGCAGTAGCATTCCTTCCGCCATATTTGCCAGCAGTCCCGGCATCCCAAAAACCGCTTCCTCATCCATAAAATGCACTTGTTGCTCCGGCGCTGACGTGCACTCCGAGGGAGCCACCGCAGAAGCACCACAAGCCTCATCCGACTCTTCCACCGGCCGAAACTGTTCTGCTGCTTCCGCCGCGGCAGTTTGAATATCCTTCGCGTTGGCGGAGGCCGGGACTGGTAGCCGCCACGCAGAGTCGGCAAAGTTGAGGCAAGCCGACCTCCCCCTCAGCGCAATGGCCGCCACATCATGAGCGCGCGCGGCCATTTCGGCTGTGGGAAATGTTCCCAGCCAAATCCTTGTCTTTTTGTTGGGCTCCCGGACCTCGGACACCCACTTGCCGGAGTTCCTCCTCCGGACACCGCGGTACACAGGGTGCCTTGTCTCTTTAAACTTCTTCCGTCCAGCCTGCTTCTTCGGGTAAGTGGACGCCAGCAGGACCTCCTCGTCCGACAAGTTCATGAACATGGGGCGAGAACTGTTGGCGTCAGAAGCGGACGACGATTCCGGCTGCGGGTCCACGTAGTAATGAGAGAAAGCATCCATTTCTAGGTACGAGAGTAGTAGAGTTCGTTTAACAGAAACGATGTTGAAGCAAGCAAGAATCGAACTCAAAACTTCAAACGCTTAAGCGACCTCTTAACTTACTAAACTACAAGCGATTCAAGCTTTATAGTTGGAAAAGTCGCAAGTGTGGACAATCTAGTACTTTGCAGTTTCGGAGTTAATGGAAACTTAGTACTGATGAAAAAGTATGGATCAGATTGTTTGTTCTAGTTAGGTACTTTTTTTTTTTATGAGTAGATTTGGTTTAGATATATATAAGGTGTGATGTGAGTGCAAAAAGGCGACTGGGCAAATGAAAAACGCGAACACGGAGCCAGGCTGGGGCTGGGTTGGGCAGGCATGGAATCCACGGAGTAATTGCAGGACTGGGTGCCGGGTGGGGGATATTAAACCAATAAACCCTACAGCTGTCGTAGGATTTTATCCCTCCCTCCCTTTTTTCCCAAGTTGCGGGCGTGGATTGTAGTTTTGTTTGTGTGTGCCAAGTGTGTGGATTCTGAGTTTTGACTGGTTTTTAATATTTAAGTGAATGAATCTTGTTGCTTTCAAGGTCAAAGGTCGGCCTCACTCACTCATCACCCAATCCACATGAATATATATATATATATGTATGTATTTATACTTTGACTCATTTTAGTATTTTTGGAAGCTTCAAATATACTTTCACACCTGCTGCACCGTATATAAACAGCTTCGTCAGATCAACTTGTTTCTTTCTTGACCTTTTTTATATCAACTTGTTTCTTTCTTTACCTTTTTATATCAACTTGTTTCTTTCTTTTATCTTTTTATTTGATCATTTCGTATAAGGATATAAGCTTATTTTTAGTTACGTTTCCTGAAGTTCGGCTTTAATTTCATTATGTTCTCTTTTACTTAAAAATCATCACTTTTCTTCTTAAAACTCAAAGTTCGCTTAATTTTGCCTCTTAGAACTCACTTTTGATCATATTTTGCCCCTTGAAACTTGAAAGTCGTATTTATAAAACTCAAAATTTGCTCTACATTGCCTTAAATCTGTTAATTTCTTATATGGGGTTTGATTTAGATGCGCCAGGCTAATCATTTTATTTTTTATTTTTTTATCTCTTCAATTTCTTTTTAACTTAATATTCTCTTATTTTTTAATGTTAACGTATAATGAACATTTATAGTCAAATTTATTGCACATGTGGCATAGTCTTATTTAGGGCTGAAAAAAAATCCCAAAAATCCCAAACCAAACCGAAAAAATCCCAAACCGAAATTCCCGAAAATTTCGGTACCCAATACCGAACCGATCCCGAAATTTCGGTACGGGAATCGGTCTCAAGTTTTTGGGATTTCGGTATTCCCAAACCGAACTGAAAAAAATATATATATATTATTTAATTTTTAAATATATATTTAGATCGACAGAGTCCATAAAAAATGAAGGCTTCAATAGTTGCACATATTTCTGTATGAATGATTTAAATCGACAGTGTCTTGCAATTGTAGCATCTACATTTGAATCCAGATTGGCAGTCTTGCAATTGTAGCATCTACATTTAAATTGACATAGTCTTGCAACGGGCTTCTTAGCATATTGCAGCCCAAAAGTGTTAAAAGGTTCAATTTTAGCCCCAAAACATAATATTTTAGTCCAAAAGCCCAAAAGCCTAAAAGCCCAAAATCATTTTGGGATTCCCGATTTGTCCCGAAATCCCGAAACTATTTTGGGATTCCCGAAAATTTGGTTTGGGATCGGTATTGAAATTGGGATTCCCGAAATTTTTGGTTTGGGAATCGGGACAAGGGTTTCGGTATGGGATCCCATACCGAACCACCCCTAGTCTTATTAGGTGTTGGTCTCACATATGTTTCAAGAGGCGACTTATAAGTTTTAGGGAGAAGAGAGAGTCCACAAGTGAAAGTGAAACGAATTTTGAATTTCAATGAGTAAAGTGATGGCTTTTGAATTGTAATAAATAAAATGAAATCAAAATGGAATTCCACTTTCAAGTGGCGTAGCTAAAAATAAGCGATATTCATCGTTAACTTTTCACTTTCACCAAGTAAAAAGAAAATATATCTTTTGGGGTCCAAGAAAATACTTCAATATAAAAAAAGACCAAGGGCTGGAAAATAAAAAATAAAAACAAAAAATGCGAACTCGACCCAAAATGTCCCAAACTTCACCCAAAAAAAGTCGAAATTGAAAAAATCATAATAATTCAGAATGGGAATCGGGCCGTCATATTATTAATATGTTGGTTTAATTCCAAAGCGAACCGAAAATTAATATATATTTTATTATTTTTATTGTATAATATATATAAGAAATATCTGTGACCGTTTAATTTGGTTGAGACTGAATCCAAGAAGAGAGAAGTTAGTAGGAAGCTACTGCCACTGCACTACTGATCACATGAAGACAAGAGGCGGCGGCGATGACGTGGCGAGAAGGGCAAACCTTTCTGAAACGACGTCACACAGTCTCCAAAACACGGTTGACGGTTAATAAGTTAACCGAAAAAAATGCTTTTAGAATTAATTGAATGTTTATTTAGTCGCTAAGATTCCAGAGGAAATCCAGTGGCCTTCCCGCGTTAGGTTGACGCGTGAGCCACGTGCCTCATTAGTCTGTCTCCCCCAAAGACAGTACCATCTGGGCCGGTTCGCACCCAGAGATTTTCTTAAACTCAATCTTATCCTTGAAACATGATTTGGGACCTACCTCCTTTCTTCTGATGATTTAAGTTAAGTGGGAAAGGAAAGTGAGGATATCAATTTCGGAACTGGATCATTTCCTGAGTTCAGGATGGGGATCCTCATAAGCAGCCTATTCGGACGGTCACTTAATTCAACGGTTGTAATTATTATAACTTTTAGAGAAGCTCCATGTTTGAAGCTGTTGGATTAAATTTCAACGATCCGAATGAGTTGCTCAGAAGAGGATCCAGTTTCGTCAATTTCTAGGAGATGTTCTTTCTCCTAGTATCGTTTTAGTTCTTTTCCTCATGTGGTCTTATCTTACAAAAACTCAATTATACTCAGTCATATGATAGGCACAAACATTAAACAGCTTGATATGCGGCCTAAAAATTTAATGGCTGTGATATTATAGTTAACAATCAAAGATCACTTGTGTACCGAGACGGACCAGCCTTCTTCATCAATCGCTTTTCAAACTTTATTTTTAGCTAATTAGTCAGCTTCTAGCCATTATATACCCGTGCATACTATAAAGTAAATCGTCTGAGTTGTGGGCAACTAAAGATAACTAAGTATGTTCTCTCAAAATTTCCACATGGAGCCCATTCAACCCTTGCCTATGCTTCGTCCTTGCTTTTTGATCAATCTATCTTCTGCCATTGTTTTTTCAAGTTAATCAGTTGGTTTCTAACTACTATATTGCGGTTCATATTATAAATTAGGGCATCGTCAAGTGGGTGGAAAAGGCCACGAGTCCAGTTAGGGTTTAGGGTTTCCGATATCAACTTGGACTCATTAAAGTATTACTATAGAGAGAGTTGGTCCCTTGGGTAGAAGAAAAAACAACATTGGTTTTCGGGGTAAAGAGGCATCACTTGTCATACCCTATCATATACCCTCATTGATGAGGGCGTGCATCATGAATGACGTACGGGTCGGTTTTTCTTCTTTGGGCCGTCAACTAGTTTCTAGATGGATAAAGAGGAGTTGGTCAAGGGTTTGAACTTGGAAGTTTTTCTTGACTTAATTCAAGTTTGATTTTGTTGGTTGATTCAGTTAAAGTCGGTTTGCGGAGACAGCCCTGGTTGCCCTGTAACACATCTAGATGGAGTGGTGCTTTATGGGTAGTGCATTTAACTCAATTTTTTTATATTTTGTGCTCACTTTTTATTTATCTTGATTGTTGATTTTAGTTTAGTTATGTGATTTAATAGATACGAAACTAAAAGAGTTAAAAATCATACTTTACATGCATATAGGCTATATCGAAAATTTTGAAATTATGTTTTTCTCTAATGCAACTGAGATTTAGGACTCAAATATAAGATTTGAGTCTAAACATGAGTTTAATCATTTCCATTACACCGGAGACTTACAACTTATATTTAAGTTTCCGATCAAATGAGACCCAAATTTGAGAGAGAATATATGATTTGAGTCCAATGGAGCCCAAGCTAATAAGGAAAATGTTATTCATAAAAAAATAAAAATAAAAATTTGTGTTTTAAGTTCAATCATCTTCAATACACATGCTCAAGTAATCAAATTAAACTCCAATGCTTTCCCCTCTAATGTAAAAAATTCAAATCCGAAATTTCAAAGTACAATAATATATGTCTAAGAATATAAGTCCTTGCATCGGACAAAAGAATTAAAAACTTCAAAATATAAGAAAATAGGTTTAGAATTTGAATCTTTGCATTAGAGATGCTTTTAAAGCCTCAAAAATATTTCGACCAAGCTATTTGTTAAAAACTTTGTTTCTTTACCCTCCCTTAAAGACTAAAACTAACCTCATAATTTTCTTTGCCTAGTTTCCATTGCTTGAGACTCCCTAGAAGACAACTTGAGCCCAACCCTCTAGTAAATATTGTTCAAAAAAAAGAAACCCTCTTGTAACTACAATAAAAAATAAATGAATATAACACTAGAGACGAGCGATAACAAGCACTCAAGGTAGATTTGAATTGTTCTCGAGCGAGGGCTCAAATTGGTCTCTATGGCTCAACAAGCACTTAAGGTAGATTCGAGTTGTCCTCAAGAGGGCTCAAATTGCTCTCTATGGGGCCTTGAGCAATGTAAACTAGCAAAAAGTTTGAATACTACTAAAAGTATAGGGCCATTTGTATCTTCTTACAGTTATCAAGGTCAATACTGTAACCTCGAGGACGTATCACGAATCACGGATAATGAACTATGTCTGAAAGAACCATCCCCAACTAAGTGGTGTGGTCACTGATCACCCGTCCATTCAAGGGTGATCATCAGGATTCAGGAGTACGTGGACCACTGAAATGTATAGCTCAACTGGACAGAATTAGCGCTCTTTTCCTTCGAGCCAATCAGCCGACATGGAGAGACTCCAAACCCAATCAACATTCACTTGACTACTTGAGAGATTGAGTGCTCCTTTTATTCTTGACTAAAATTAGAAATAGAGGTAGGGTTCGTAAACCTTTTTTTTTCTTTTCTTATAACTTTTGTAGCCGCTTTAGCAACAGTTGTCTCGTCCCCCAAGATTCGTAGTACCCTCTTGTTTTTTCAGGAAAATGA